CAAACACAGAGACTCACACACAAACCGATTACTATTTTGTTTCCGACGCTGCAAACAAAAAAAAAAAGACTTGTACGTTCAGAAAACAAAATATCCTTGTTTTAAATCGTTAAATGTACATTGACAATGAATATTGTAGGAAAAAAAATCGAGTTCCATTTTCACATATAAAAAGGATCTTGATATTGTAACACAAGAGAATAATGTTCTTGTATGTAGTTCTTTTATTCTTGATTTGAATGAATATCAATAGTTATGATGACAGTGGTGCTAAAATAAACAATACACAATTGAAAATGATAGACAATAAAAAATAAATGTAAACAAGTATAATATAACCTCCTGACATTTCAATATTAGGAAAAAGTAATGTCTATTTCATTAAGAAATATTTATGAGTTTGACAGTCAGACGTCTATTATATTTTATCATATAGCATATCATCTATGCAAGAAATAAATATGCATATGCAGTATAAATAATAAGTAATAAAAATGTACAGAGTTCACAAACCTAAGTAATTTAGGAATGCAGTATGGCTTCCGGTCACTGTGACGTCATCACACGAGAGGACTGTTCACTAAAAATACAATCAGGTCTTACTGCTCAATTCAAACAAACTATTACATACATGTACTTGACAAGGAATCAAAATTATAATAAAATGTTTTGCATTGAACAATCTTTTAAAATCATATGTAACATCAGGGCATCTATTAATTTTAACCAATAAACATACTTATAAACAAATGACTAGATGGTAACATCACGACATCATTTCTGACTACATGTAGTAATAAACAACTTTCAATCGGGAAATTACTCAGTTGCATATTTCACAAAATATAGAATAATCATTCACTTGTGACATAAGTACCTAGTCTAATATGAATGTAAGACAAAAATATCATTACTCACATATATCAGACAAAAGGCGTTTATTAACACGGCTGACACACATCTTCACTGGTCAACATCTACTGTGAAAATACCGCCAAAAGATGGCCTACTGTATATTTGGCAAATTGAGCAATCAATGTACAGATTCACAAGTGTAAAAAATAAATTATAAAAATTACTTACAGCCAAATACTAACGTTATTTCAGTTATTCAAAAGGATATCAACATAAAAATAATTTTCCTTTTCATGATTTGTAAACTTTATAAAAATTTCAATCTGAATCTCGAACCCGATGCAAAATATACTTCGCCCTCTTACAATATAGACTACAACAAATATATAAAAGAGAAGGGCATCTGTGGAAGAATTCATTTTAACAAGATCTATGTAAAATTGAATTTCAATCATAAGAGGCAGCTGAAACCTTTTTTTCAAAATAAGTCGTATATGTATGGTATAGGTCAGTTGTACGATCACACATGTCCTTAAAATTTCAATAAATCTCACTAACAAATAATAGATGATGCAAAAGCGGTATTCATAATTCATGTCTGAGGTGAATATAAAATATATCTTATCTTATATATCCTTAACTTGAAAGTTACAAAATTAACCCTTTAGGGGTGTAGACCTACATGTATGTAAAACCAATACACCTCAATGACTGTGCTATTGACAAGAACTATGCATGTCCTGTAAAAAGAGAAATGTTATTATGTATTAATGTTTTTTTTCCTGTTCAAAAAACCCGCTGATTATACACACATAGAGCTGTTTATTACCATTTTTATTTAAGAGAGTATTAGAAAGTTGATTTATCATTATAATACTTTTCGATAAAGCAACAAAGGCTAACTTTTCACCATTTAAAAAATGGATTTCAAACTTTTTTCAATTTTTAAATTTCAGAGAATGAAAAGAGCAAGCGCAGTGAGCTGTGCAAAGCACTGCTTGTCAATACGAGCTCATAAAACAACGCCTTGTCAGAAAGCAAATTCGGACTTTGCATATTGATCCAAACGATTATTTTGATATTACATGTGGTCTTATACAGCCTTTAAAAGCTTACGTTTTATGTTAAAATATGTATGATTTGCTTTAGCCAAGTAAAAATTTACATCAGAGATTGATGCATACAGATAATAATCCAAATGCTACATGTATATATATTTAGTTCAAATGTATGGCATGGTAATGAAATGATAAGTATGACACTGTATTTCATAAAATAGTAAGGGTATACTTGCTGTGGATATTTTGTTAGAGAAACTTTACAGTAATCTAGAAAACCAGGGTGTAAATCCTTACCAGCGACGATTTTCTCCTTTCTTGTTATATTTCGTCCCACTGACTTCCCTGAGACATGCAATTAAAATGAAAGTCCTTACCATGTAAAAAATAATATACCGTAATTAATTTTACATGTATTTTAAGGAACGGGCGAATTTAGGTAAAAGAAAACGTTTACATGTAGGTTGGGTTGGCAACAAAGACCGTCGATTTATTAATTTGTTCCTTATTCTTTCTATACATGCAATGCGCATTTTAAATAGAAAGCAAACACCTTCTCTAACAGGGAAAACTTTACAACAACGAAATGCAAGTACAAAAATTTCATTACGCTCATGATAAATTGACAGGTTTATACAATTAATATACTCACAGTCAACAGAAACGCAACACTCTGATTTTATGGTGAAAACTATATACCGGATATAACTATGTACCAAAAAGTTAGGACATCTTTAACTTTGCCAAATCAGTTATTTAACAGTTAAAATGATTTTTATTCCATTACCGAAAGTTGATTTTTAGCCCTCTTAACAGATAACTTTTAAAACATCCCCCCTTCCAACCATTTAATTTTAAAACGTGCTAGTCCGCCATCTACAACATACGCAGCCCAATATCTACCATGCATTAGGTTTATCCATGTCTTTATTTGATCGAAATAAATATTCTTGGGCATTTCTAAATGTCTGTTTTTCAGATACTGCGGTCAAATTTTCTCTAACTTGGCTTAGTGTAGTAACCCTTAGACTTCTGGTCAAGTCATTCATGCTTTTGAAACACATAAGCCCTAAAAGTTGTTATATCGTGTAAATTTGCATCGGTAGCTCTTTTTTTATTTAAGAATGTTCAGCATTAGCGATGAAAATACATGTTTTAGTCACTTTGAGGAAATACAGGAATCCTAACGGCCTCAGGCAGACATTTTGGTTCTTGAGTTCAACAAAACGCATGTTCCCCTCGAATTCAGTCAATACATGTAAATGTATAATATTGCACTATTTTCCATGCTTTCTTGTCGCAAGGGTCCATGAATTGAATTTACATTACCCATGGTGATTTCATCTTTTGATACCTAAGAAAGGTTTGCATTTCTGGAAAAGTTTTTTTTCAATGATAATCCCTTGAAATTTTTCAACTCCTATAATAGCGATGTAAAAAAAATAATAACGAGCAGACACATAGCAGGAAGACCAAGGAAATCTTAGATTAGAAAAACTCCACCTAGGTTTGCTATAAACAAATAATTCTATTATTAAAATGCTTTTAAAATATAAAAAGAAAACATAGTTTTGACCAGAATTTTGACCAGTTCTTTTACAGAATAGGTTTTTAAAAAAACCAAACAAATCAAATATTTAGTAGAGATATCATTTCAACATATTCATTTATTATTAACTCAGAGATGTCACTCGTTATTTGCTAATAGCATTTCAGTTCCTAAAAACAACAAAAATCTGAATATGATATAAATATGTTTATTAAATAAAATAAATAGTAATTTCCAAGAAAAAATAACAACGAAAAGTAAAATCTGGATCCCTTTAATCCTGCCCAAGTTTTGTTTAACAAAATGATTACTTGTTTCATTGTTTTTGCAAAGGAAAACCAAAAACTTGCGCCTTATCAATATGGTTAATAGGAGGCACATAATGGCGTTATGTATAGAAAGTGCTTTGTTGTTGTTGTCTCATGAAATTTTATTCTCTCAGATACAGCTGTAGCAGAAGTTTGACACTTGAAGTGGTGCCTCAAATATTATATGAACATTAGCAGTGTAATTGCATCTACGGAAAACCAAAACAATATTTTGTTGTTAAACGTTAAATTAGATTGAGTAGAGGTAGTCAGTTAGAGTAAAAAGATAGGGATGAACCAATGATTTGTTGAGTTGTTCTTTAATCTTTTATTCTTAAACTACATGAAAACTTAAAAGAATTCTATTTACGAGAAGGTTTAGTTTTGTTACCTCTGTATGAGACTGAACCTTGTATCCATTCAATACCTAAATATGCTATTTTTTAATTATAAAGAAAATATTGACAAAAGACGTAATAAGTATATTTTTGGGTTATAAAGACATTGTTTGGTTATTTCAAAAAATATATAATTTTAATTGTTAGCTTTACAGACTTCTAGTTAAGCAATGTTCTATTAACTAATAACAGAAACCTTTATATCAAGAAAAAAAATCTGATATACATCTATTTACATTGTATGTACATGTTATCAGTAGTACAAAAATAATAATTAAAAAAACAATCGATCATCTAAATAATTTTAAAGGAACAGGTTTATATAAAAAAAATAATACCCCAAAAAACGTAACCGATGAAAAAAAGTTACATTTAGTTACACAATAAATAGTTGTAAGTAAATATTAAAAGGAGAATGCTTAATGCGCCCTTATTTCTAATAAATTATGACTAAAATTGTTTTTAAAATAACGCAAAATACCGTATATCAGGTTTTTCATACGTTAGAAATTTTGCGAAAAAGGGGTAGATTGTACAGTTTTTTTTTTAATTTTCATACGTTTCTTTTTACGATTGAGGATTTTTTTTAAATGGTAATACATTTATATGTCACATTATAGCTGACATAATTTTTGCATTTTTTTTATTTTGCAAATGAAAAATATAGCAGCAAAAGTGAGATATACATCATTGCAAAAAAAAAAAAAAAAAAAAAAAAAAAAAAAAATAAACATAAAAAAAACCGAATATACGGTACAATGATAAGAGAAAAAAAACTATAAAGTTTTCTTTAAATTCCGAAAGAAAATCCTTATTATATAACCTTTATGACACATCATTTTTACATTTTCACCTAATTATTGTTTGCAATATTCTTCTTAGTGTCGTTCATTTGTTTTCTTTTAAGAATTAGCATACACATTGTCTGTATTTAGAAAATCAGATAGTGCTTTGAAACAGAATTCATATTCTTCCTGAAATATAAAAGAAAATGCGTAGAATTTGTATTTATGACATTGTTTGTTTTGTTAGTTTTTTTTTTTTTATCTCCATATCACATGTACATCATACAAGAATTTACGTTATATATAAATGATTTAGAAGAAGAAAAAAAATTACGAATCTACGATTAATAAACCATAACAGACATAAACACAAATCGTACAAGTTTTATGAAAAATGAAATCTAATATTTACCAGCAGGAATTATCAGAAAATAATGTACACTTTTACAGGTGTAACAAACGAACACCTATACTATAAGATGTATTATCAAAGACTATTCATAGTTATCATTTTTTATAAAACACTGGTAAAATCAATTAAAATTCACCTTTGTAGATAATTATTAATATTGTATTTAAAGGTCAAGTACGGAGATTTTTGTAATATTGGAAAAATATATACATAAGTGTCTACCGGTCTCATATGATTTAAATTCCCTTAGCTGTTTAATTGAAAACCGCCTGGTATGAATTATGCTGCGCGATTAAAATTTACCTGGACTATCAATATTTTTTTAGTGACGGGAGGTATCGCCCATAACTGACTGCAGTGACTGAGCGAGAGAAAGACAGATTGGGAGTTTACTGGTTGTTTACAAGTGCTTTTAAAAAATCCTTTCTAGGGTTATGGTGCAGAGCGCAGCTTTGAACTGTTATGTAAAATTTATACAGAGTGTTAAGTTTATTTCTTTTCTCGAAGGACCCAAAGAGATAGAGCACACAGTACACAGTACAGCGCATTAACAAACATCCGCAAAATTTCAATACATAAAATTATAAAATTTAGTAAATCTATCTGTGAGCAAGTAGAGGAAAAAATACACACGCATTGTTATTTCAAACTGACGAGATCAATAAATGTTACACTGATTTTTTTGTATGGGACCGGCATACCGGGGCAGTGGAGAGTTATTGAGTTTGCACTGACATAAAATGCAAAGAGTGTTCTTGAAATATAGCAAATATATTATTACACGTAAATCGAAGTCTTTTTTTAAAAAGTAACTTGATACAACACAGGAGTTCAATATTATCCCTATATCGCAAACAAATTCCATCTCATTTTCGCTGCTTTTTATCTGTCGGGTGCTCATTACCGCTACATCTTCCTAGTGGTAGAGCGTTCGCTTCGTGATCGGGAGGCCCGGGTTCGATTCTCGATCGCGGCGCCGCGTCATACCTAAGACGTAAACAAAGGTAGTGACTGTTCCTTCGCCAAGCGCTCGGCACTAGAAGTGAAAGTCACGGGTCTTTCGGATATGACCTTAAAAACGTAGGTCCCGTGTCACGGTAGGCGTTGGCACGATAAAGAACCCTCACTGCTCAATGGCCCTGAGTGCCGAGTATAGGTCTAAATTTGAAGCCCTTCACCGGCATCGGTGACGTCTCCATATGAGTGAAAAATTCTCAAGAGGGACGTTAAACAATATATATACATACATCTTCCGAAATCACAAAACCTTTACATTGTGAAAATGGCGATTGCATTTGCAGAGTATGTGTTCTAAACCATAGAATCCACTCACAATGTCGTCAAGGTACATGTACAAACATTACGTGTGTGTGTGTGTTTTAAATAAAAAGATGGGGAGGGGGAGGGGACATGAGAATTAAAATCAAGGACATAAAGTCACGAAAATGGTTTATTCAGTTATATATGTGAAGTTCCGAGATGCTCAGCAGGATCGTGCATGGTTATAGGTTTCTATGTTGATACGGGAAAGGGACTAGTATACTGGTGGGGAATACCCACAAGCAATAAAATTATACCGTATAAGGCCATTCTCTATTTACATGAAAAAACACACAATCTTCTTGCATAGAACGACATATAGATGTGATTGACGGGGATTCTTTTTAATATATATATTTTTGAGATATTTTACGCTCTTACATTTTTTTTATTAAAAAAGGGGGGTATCGATCCATTCTTCAGGCGCCTGTGCGAAATCTTTTTTCGGACCGAAAAAATCAGAGTGACCAATGTCACACTATATCTCATAATTAAATACGTACCTGTTTTGCAGTTTTTGGTATTAAAACAAAAAAATATATATATGCTTTACTTGTTTCATGTATTTTAAGCTTGACAAGAAATAGTGTATGGATGATGAGTAGATAAGGTAACGCAAGCTTAACAGGAACTCTAAGGAAAATGTTGAGAAAAATGAAAGGTGAAATTTTTTTTTATAATGCCCTGACATTAAAGATTTTGCTGCTCCGTGATTTAATGATATGTCCTGATAACTCACCCAAAATTGATATCAATTTACAACATTTTGATATGAAATTTTGAAGACCATATGAGTAAAGATTCGTTTATATTAAATGTGACATTTTGCCTGATTATGTCATTAAATATAATATGTATTTTTCTGTGCAACAAGTCAGCTTAATTTTTGAACGGCCGTCATAATGTCTATAGCAGGATTTTCTTGTTGTTTTATTTAAATTTCGGAAATTAATTTCCAAAAATTTAAACGCCGCCTTTTTATTGAAAAATGAGACATGTTTGCATGCTGAATGTTCTATTTTCATTTTGATTGAAATGGGGGTACGATTTGAAGCAACCACTTGCGGCCACAGAGTTATTTGCTGACCACTTTTGACTTTGCTTATAATATTGTTTACATGGTTTCACAGGTGACTATCATTGCTCATTGAGTCTACTAGTTTATTAATTAGTAATCTAACGAATAAAACAACGTATTCTACATAGATGCAAATAATGATCTAACGGTTTCGATTTTCATGGTGAACGTTTTTGAATATCCGTTTTAATTTATTTTCAATATAAAAAAAAAATTATTGCTTCTTGGAGAATTTCCCGTTTTACTTTCATTATTCTCGGATTCTTACTTCGATGACATATTCATGTAGACAGGCCTAACATATTCTGATTGCTTCATAATGGGCTCAAACATAATCGGTTGATTCTGTAAACTACGAAAGCCCAGAAGGCTCATTCGAGATTCAAGGTTCGAAAAACGAGATTCGAAATTCGAGATTCAAGTTTCGAGATTCAGGATCCAGATTAACTAATCAAAAGCTCCCAAAAGGCTCATTCGAGATTCAAGGTTCAAAATACGAGATTCGAAATTCGAATTTCGAGATTCAAGATCCAGATTAACCAATCAAAAGCGTTCAAGATTTGATTACTCCCCTTTATAATGATTTTACTATCAAGAAATCATTTAGTATATAAATAACAAATTAGTCATGTAATAAAATTACAATGCAAGAAGGAGTGTTATTTATATAAGAAGGATATTTAAATAATCATTGGATTTTTGATCAGCAAGATACACTTCAATTTATATTATGGCTTCTTAAATATTAAGTAGAATACATATATCAGGAATATATATATATATATATATATATATATATATATATATATATATATATATATATATATATATATATATTTGTATTGTCTACTTTGTTTACCGGGTTGATGACATATAAATAAAGTTATGCATACGTAGCAAGTGTCTAAAGGTTAACAATAACCCCACCCCTACTCACCCCGCCTGCCCATTTTTCCAAACACACTGAAAGGCTTGAAACTTGAAAGACGACGTAGTATTGATAAAGAAAAATCGCGTTCGTTTTCCTGATAGAGGAAATACATAAAAATTAAGTATTTAACTATCTTCATCCAATGCTTTGATCTCTTGAATTAATTAAAAAATTTAATTATATCTACAATACAGATTGGCGATATGAATTAAAATAAATGCGGCATTTATTTTATCTTATATCAAATAGTAGATGAGTCTAAATTACATGCAGAACTATATAGCGTTATGGTGTTATATTTTAGTCTCTGACCATAGCTTTATGGGCAAAGACTGCAATATACCCTTATTAAACCTTATTTAACGCTAGAGTTCGATTCAGCAGTCAAGTCTCGCTGCACAAATGTATCCTTTATAAATGTAATGAAAATATACCCTTAAATTATTGTGCAGTGTAGATACGATTCATAAAATTTCATATCTAATTATAATTAAATGCAACTTTCTCCATCAGCAACGATCTGATGAAATAATATTACTTGACCTGCTTTTTCAGCAAGTCAACGATAAGACCATGTAATATTACATATATACGTATTTACTACTTTGTTAAATTAGAAAAATAAGATTATATATGTATTTTTTTAAAATGTAATCCAAATTTTATTTTTATTTCGTTTTAATTCATTAAACATTTTTTCTTGCATTATCATTTAAGCAAATGATTCATTTGTTATAAATATATTCAACGATTTCTTGATAGTAAAAACGTTACGAAGGGAAGTAATCAAAAGTTGAACCCGCTTTTGATTGGTTAGTTTGGATCTTAAATTTCGAAACTCGAATTTCGAATCTCGAATTCTGAATCTCGCATTTCGAAACTTGAATCTCGAATGAGCCTTCTGGGCTTTAGTACTACGAAGTAAACGCACGTCTATCTTCGAGTTTACCTTAAATAACACGGTATAGCGTAGAAACTAGTCATTTTAATCAGTTATTGGTTGTTTGTAAAGTAGCGCCTATACAGCAATTGTCTCTGATGACGTCATGAAAAAGAGCGATAACTTTATCGCCCATGTCTATAAATAACGATATTTGAACAGGTATATTGCGTCTATGTCTGGATTTTTTTTTAAAAATAAACACAACCATAAACTTTCATTTAATGCTTTTGATGATTTATAAACATAATTTTAAGATCTATTTTTTCCGTACTTGACCTTTAATGTGTATAAACATGTATAATTCGACAAGTCTACATATATTTTTTTTTCATTCATTAAGAGTTAATCAATAAAATATACCTTTGTAGATATCATCTCTGGTCTTCTACACTGTAGTTGCTGTACAATAGTAAATATGTCCACCTCTTCGTCGTGCTGTAGCTGTTCTATGGCGTTATACACAGCAATAAACACTCCGCAACAGGTCGCACCGTCCCTTTTGCGTAAAATAAATACTTTTTTAAAAATAACCTAGAATATTGTTTTATCTATCTCAAAGATAATTTGACTTTAAGTGTATTCTAAGAAATATTCATTATTTTCCGTAAATTGTTAAGTTCATCCTTACCTATAAAATTCATTTTTGACCTTTGAGTTTTACTCACTTAAAAAAAATATTAATTTATTTGTTGAAAGGGCTTGAATAGTTTACATGTGTGTTTCTTAACAAATAGCCTTGCCTCCCCTTGTATACCTTTGATTTTTTAACTGTTACTGAATTGATCTATATATTTTAATTTTTTTGTCTAGCCCTTTTCTTTTGAATGATTTACACTTGGGCTGTTATATTTAGATTTTTTGTTGGAACATTGGAGTTAAAAAATCTTTTCCTTGGATTTTTTTCAATTTTTATTTGAATGACTTCAAACATTTACAAAAATTGTCTGATAAGGCATCACAAAACTCCCTTTTTTAATAAATGCCAAGCATATACCCAAAGGCCCAGTATTTACTTTGATATCACGGTGACGTGTCCGTCTGGGTGATATTTCCGATCAAGGCTGAATTGCTTGATGAGGTTTGTCAAACAAGAAGTTTCTTTCGGCAGTGCATCATCGGAACTCCAATTTAGGCATTCAAATACTTGTATTTCATGATTTTCTGAGCTTTCCTGTCAGAATATGTTTTATTTTTAAAGTCATTTTTACATACCTATAAAGCACATGTCTTTGTTAACTGAGCATAAGAACATATTGATATTTCAATACAAATAATTTAATAAGCGTCTATTTCGGAAAAAAAAAACAATTTACCTCCTTATTCGTAATGTTTATAGTTGTTTTTCTTATTTCCTTGGTTAGTGATGTCTCTGTACCCTTAGTAAGTTTGTAGGAACTTAATTTGACAGGATTATGTTGATGCTCTATCCAGCTTTGTAACTGGAATAAAAATCATTAAATTATAGTTTAGAATTTTATAATGAAAAAATAGCATCAAATTAAACAAAATATTTACTGGGGATGCACAAAGCAAGTTATCACCAAAAATGATTGAAGAATATTAAAATTACCTCTTTCACTTCTGATAATGGGTTTAATGAAATTAGGAATGCTGACTCGTGATCAATTAGCAGACGAACAAGGTCTATGGCCGCGCCAGACACCGGATATTGTGCTGATATAAACTCCTCAGCTCGGGTGAATGACTATAAGCCAAGACAGAAGATACAAGTGGACATGTAAATATGTCAAAATAGCACGTAAAGTACACAACATGTTCATGAAATGATTATTATTAAATTATCATCAAACTTTGGTTTATAGATTAATAAAGGGATTAGTTCGAAAAAGTTATTGGACATGATCTTTGTTATATTTATTCTTTAAACATTCTTTTAAAAAACACACAATAAGTGTGAAGACATCATTGTGTCTTAAAATATTACAAATTATGAGATTTATATACATACAGATACATTCACTGCATTGTAGTAAGACTCTCGACCAGGTACATGGGAAGTCAAATAGACCAGATATCGCTCAACTAAAGATAAAAAAATCATAAAATGTATTTAAGGACATTCTTCACAAATAAAGTTTAACTCTCTTAACCAATATTTCTGCCAAGAATAAAGTAATGTACATTGCTCGAGTGATTGATAACGTACATGTATCTGTGGGAAGTTTACAGAGACTCAAATTTAGCCATATTTCCTTAATTTTAACGATACGTTAATTGAACGATTTTTTGGTCCTTAGAGAGATAGTGATAGCCTCATACAATAAAATTTATGCAAATGTACATATTAAGACTTAATACAGCTGTATTACATTTTACCAATCTATTATTATTGCTAAAAATTCCAACATTATATCAACGCTTATCTTTCTCCTTCTATGTTATTTGCAATTGTCTTTTTTTTTTTTTTAAAAAAAAGTCCAAAATAAATCGACATACCTGGTAACACTGATTTTGTAAAGTTCAGTTTTGAAAATTTCTTTCCACTCTTGAAATCATGGGCATTATATCGTGGTTTTAAGCTAATCAGTTCCTAAAAATCCAATGAAGATCATAGTATTTCTTGATTTTGTGAATTTTAGAAAGGAACATCAATAATAAATATTTATAACGTATACAAATTGTGCATTTGTTTTTGTTTCAACTGCAAGCAAATACTTTTTTATCATCTAAACATCACAAAAGTTTAAAAGATTGTCAAATATCTGATTATAAACATTGGGTATTCTCACATTGAATTCATTGGTTAGATGTTTCTGTGTATTTATTCTGTCGACATCTCCATAATGGTGGAGAAATTCGTCTTTTTTCTTATATTGGGCTTTTCTTCTGAAGAACTCATACAAAGCATGGTAAAGAAATACGTACTGGTCCTAAAATGAAACAATGTCAAGTTATTCTTCTTACTTTTGTCTATGCATTTTTCAATTGCAAACTAGTTCAATTCGAGAAAATATTCTCTCTCTCTCTCTCTCTCTCTGTATATATGAAAAAGAATATCTTCATCTCCATCTCTCTTTTTTTTATTCAAGATAGAGCAGTAAATTAAGAATTTCAAAATATAATTAAAAATTGCAGTTTCCTTATATACAAACCACATTCTGTATCATTGTCATCCTGTCTTTACGCATGACCTTGACATACTCTATGATATTGACCTTGCCCTCGTCCTCGCCATATCTGGACAAAACGTCAAGGGCGATAAATGTCCCTGTTCGCCCAATTCCCGCACTGTAAAGCATTTATATATGAAGAGAAAAATTACATTGGTTTAAAGCAGTTTAGCGATCAAAGATCAAAGGAAATTTCAGATTCAAGTAGTTTACTTAAAAAATAGATGGATGGAAAAAATATATAAAGAAAAGTTTAGTTTCTTAGTCTTCTTTAAAATTTGAAAGTACTTAATATCTATTTTCAGGACAATAGCATTTTATATAACGAATATGATGCTCAAAATTTCGCCCATTAATGTATAACGTATGTCCTTAAGTATTACCTGCAATGGACAATAATTGGATGCTGAGAAGGTTGGACTTTGTGTCTAAAGTGACGATGGAAGACAACCAAATTCAGAGGATTGGGAGTCCCGTGATCTGGCCATCGTGTGTAATGAAACTGTACCACCGTCCTTGACCCAGTGACCTTTAAATAAGCACACACTGCAATTAATGTATTATGCATTGCAATGATATACATGAACCTTAATAAAATACACGAATCTACTTTTTTCCTAATGCTTCATTTACAGTTTATTTCTATATACCCTCTTTTTCCGAACAGTCATTTTTCTCTCGACGAAATATGCATATACTTTTTCTTCAACCAAAGTTACGGAAAATGGATTGATTTCCAGATACTTTCCTACATCTGGCCAATATTGGAGACATTTCACCTAAAAGAAGGTTCATGATAAAAATAATTTGCATTTTTGTTAAGAAAAAAAATAGGAAAATAAAATTTATGTTTATGCCAAGTTTTCAGGAAATTGATATAAAGTTTTAGGACTATAAAATCTTTAATACTGTGATTTCAAAACCAGGTTAGAGCAGATTTAGTCGACAAAACTGAGGATAGGAATTTTCTACAATTGATATTTTTCTTGAAACTATGACACAAGTGATGATATCTTTAAAAAAATCATATTAATTCAAATAAATTTCTCTATATTTTAATAGATAAAGCAATACATGAAACCTTTGGTCCCTCAATAAGGTTGGTCAACATGACGATGTAATCTACATTCTCCTGCCAAATCATTCTCCAGTGGTCAATCACAGTGTTTTCACGTGGGCCTAAAGAAATATATAGTAAGCTTAACTTTTAGTGAAAGAAAAATTCATAGGTAAAGAACCTTATTATTCAAAGGAATAATATAAATCTTCTATAAGTTTGGATAATATTTTTCAGATGGACTTTGACAATTTGATTTTCTTACCTTGGCAAGCAATAAACTCCTTTTTCCCCTCCATATTCTAAAAGACAAATATTACAGTGCAGTTAAAAAAATATTAATATTAAGTTCAAGCTTTCATAGCAGAAAAAAATAATTAAAGTAAATTATATGTGTTAATTACCTCGATATAATTTGCATTGATGTAATCATAGGTGAAGCCATTACCAACTTCTAAAATAACGCGGGAATGATCATCTGTAAGAAAATTATGAATTTCTATTATTGGTGTCTATTGCATTAAAATCACATACAATTTCATTGAGAGTACCTATAATTCATGACAGTAATGCATGTTATCACAAGTTTTTCTTTTGTTTTCATAACATTGGGAGTCATTTACGCTAAAGCAGATTACACTTGAAACACCCAATATAATATAAAAGAAAAAAGAAAAGATGTATGCTTATTAAAGTAGTAGTTCATCTTATCAATGCTAATGGCTATTATACTTAAGAGTTTAAACTCTGAAGAATTACTTAACACACATTTATGAGCATTTTTTTCCAGGTGTATTATATCCATCTTCATCTTCCTTTTTGCACTGAGTGTCTTAGCATTTCGGTATATAAAATTTTATTATTTAGATTTAATAATAAACATCTTAATATTTAAAAAAGGAAGGTTCAAACATTGAACATTATCTGCCCTTTTATTTTTTTATACTTTTGAAAAATAAAATTCATTTTAAGATCTAAAAAATGCATCTTATGAGGTTCAAACGTTATAACAACGTTATGGCTTGTTAACGTTATTTTGACGTAACGTCAATGTGTACCAATACCGTGCGCATTATTTTTGTAGTTTCTGAAAAGTGATGCTGCTTTGAATAGAAATCGCGTTTTAATAGTTTAATTTTCAAGTAAATAGGCCAACGTCAAAATATGTTTGACTTTTACCAAATGTTTTGTGTGCTTGTATATTCACGCCATCAATTTAAAGAAAGCAACAGCACTTTTCAAGTAAAGTAAAATGTCTTTTATATTCCAAAAAAATGGTTAAGATCTATGCAGTGTATGCTCTTGCGAAAATACGATTTTAGGCATTTCGATGTAAAATATACCTGTACACAATAACACGACATAATTGATAAAATACATTTTCTTGAGAGTTAATGAATATTCGTAGTAAACAAAGGATATACATTGGTATTAATCGACTTAATAAAACCTGAAAATAATATTCTGTTTAATAATAAAAAGCATTTTTCATGGTTAAAAAATTCTTAAATCTGCCTCTCATTGCACATGAAATACGCCCTTTTTACCAACATGACGTCATATTTACAAGCTCATCTCGATCAGTGATTTATTTATAACCAGCTACATAGGATTTAACTAGCAACTTTTTTCTGCATTGATTAGTTTTATTGCTTTTTATTAGGCTAATACAATAAAAAAAATATTTTATTTTCAGGTATTATGAGAAATACATAAAAGTCATAGGCCCCGCCCCCTTTTTCAAGCCTTAACAATGCACTCTGAAAAATAATAAAGAATAAAATGTATTCAATATAAGTTACACATGTATCCTATCAAATTCACGTTTTACAAACTGTTCTGATACAACATTTCATGAATATAAAATATTTATGAATGCATGTAATTTAATTCTGATTGTAAACTACTCTTATATTGCTGTAAAAATAAGTTTACTTTGAATATTCGGCGTAAACCACATCAGAAACGTGTAAATTCGCTTGACGTTAAAATAAATTGTGCAGAGTTAAATGGTGGACTTTAGGCAAAATTGTGTTTTTTGGTACACTTAATGGATGAACATTAAGTTATGGGGAATGCTATCCTAGTTAAACTCAAATCTAAACACTCAAAACGCGCAAACTGTACTAAGTTTAAACCGTATACACTGTGCAACTATTAAATGCATTTCTAAATATCAAAATTAAAAGAATATTAAATTTTATTCAACTGCTTAAGAACTACTTTCTTTTCAAATTTTTATTCACTTTTCAAAGATGAAAGAATTGTTCATACAGGTTCTTATTGAAAATGAAATCATAAAATATTAGAAAGAGTAATTTTACATGGAAAAGTGGTTTTGAATCTGTTCCTGAGCATGTTTTCTGCTGTTTTAGCTGTTTCACAGGAAAATCTTTCTCCATAAGGAAGAGACTAAAAAAAAATACTGCTCGATGATCAAAGGATATTATGTAAAACGGTATTTATAAACGCTTTGAAATGAAAACAATGTTAATCTGACTAGTTAAAATGATCAAAGAATAACTTTATTTCTGATAGAGAATGCTCATGAGGTAATCTTTAAACATTCTAATGCTGAAATGGAAAGAAAATATTTTTTAAAAATACAAAACGAAAGGCTGCAGGCTTAGGAACGTAAAATTGTACGAAGAGAAAATGATTATAAGCAATTCAATAATCTTATTTTCACTTTAAATGTTTAAGTACTGACCTTAAACTCCTTCTGAAATCCTTCCATTTCATTGGCTTCCTTACGTGTGATTAAAGTCAGTAAATCAGACACAGCGACATCCTTGTATACAGACAGATCATTATAATACACAGCCTTCTCAGGGTTTTCTATTTGTGGCTCTTCTTCTGGGTCCTCGATCGGTACCGAAACATTACCTATGTTTGTGAACAACTTGTTTTCTGAAATCATAAAAAAAGAACATAATAATTAAAAACTGACAATCATAAAAGATGTTAGCAATTTCCTCTCGAAATAAGATGAAACAATACAAAAGTCTTTTAAGATATATGAAGAATATTTACATGTCATGATATTTTAATTACCAGAAGATGGAGTGTGTTTCTTTTTATATAGAACCATATCAGACTTTGTATTTTGATGCATTCGTCTTTTGTATCTTCAATAAAAAATATTATTAATTCAATGTAATGATACATTCTCATACACTATTAGTTTCACAGATTAGGTTCATTTATGTAGATTTTTGAAGCCAAAAAATCTTTCAAACATACCTGAGTAATATGACGACGATGATTATTAAAATCAATAGAAATAATGCAGCACCTAGCCCAGCACCAATAGCTGTAGTCGGCAAAGAAGTCGTGTCACTTACAGTTAGTTCTAGGAAAGATTTATTTATCATATGAAACACTATTTGGGGACAAATCTCAATGTTAATGGCAAAGTGGAATTAATAAAAATATGGCGTCAATACATAGGTGTAAAATTGATATGAGCAATTAAATCATGTTCTAAGAATGGTTACAACATTAATTTTTAATTATATGACCAACTACAATAAATATTGACATCATTCACAATAATGTACATTTCCCCATTACTTCTAAAACGTTTCAGAAGTCGTATCTTTTCAATTAAAGTTTAATTAAAGTTAATAAAATCATAAATTTTTAAAATATATAATGTTCCTTGATATATTATTTTGTCCTTTGAAAGTAAATATTATCAGGAAATAAGCAGACAAATATCAAATTTATCCTCGTCAACTTACTCATAGAACATCTCTCGCCCATAAAATCACCTGTACATCCTCCTATACACGATCCGTTGTTTGAGAGACAGGTTCCGTTCAAACAGTTTGAACTACATTGATTTTCACACTCTTGACCATAATAATCCGATTTACAAACTAAAAAAAAAAACAAATAAAATACTTTTCAATTTTCACATTCAATTTGTGACTAGTATTTAAAAGAGCTAATTAAAATTATTGTAAGATAAACCTAATTTACGAACGCAGAACTTTTCTTTACAAAAATTTGTAATAGAAAAAGTTAAGGTTTTGGCAATAATAAAGGTATTTTCTAAATAAATACCATCACAGTATCGACCTTTCCATCCTATCTTACAAGTACAACTTCCATCGTCTTGGTTACAACCGGAAATACACCCACCACTGCAGGTTTGCAGACAGTCAGCTCCAAATTTCCCGTCAATACACCCAGAAGTACACAAACCACTGCTTTTATGCAAACCTTTTTGCAATTTTGATGACAGGTCTGTTCACATCGATCGCCATATTTACCAGCTGGACATTCTCCTTCACAACTCCCCGAGTTTCTGTTGCAATTTGATTGGCATGAAGCACTGCATCTCTGTTCACATTTTTGTGAATAAAATCCACTCTTACACCCAACAGTGCAAACACCAGTCACATTGTTGCATGCCTGATTGATACAATTAACATTGCACACTTGTGAGCAATTAGTTCCAAAATGAGTTGAATCACATCCTAAATAGTAAACATAAGGTTTATCTTTGGGGTCTTATGAAATTGAAAATTGTCTGAATTTCAAAAAGTTATGTAGCTACCTGTATGAGCCAAAATTTATTTCATTTTTTTTTGGGCCCTTACAAGTATATGTTCACAAAACTTAATTCCTGTAATGAACAAAAAATACGCATTTTTTTTATAAAATTAAAATGAATACCAACAATTATAACCCAACGAACAGAATGAACTCTATTTATTTTGTGGAATACGTCATTACATTATAAATGTAAGATTTTCTGTCTTAACGAGTACATAGCATAGCAAAACAAGCTGTTAGCATAGAAAATAGGAAAAAAAAATATTTTGAATAAAAAAACTTACTGTTGCATGTATCACCGCTCCAGTTTGGTTTACATCCATTAATACAAGTACCATTTTGACTGCAGTTGAATTGTCTACAGTTTTTATTGCATAACTTATCACAAAATAAACCATAAAGACCACTGTTGCATCCATTACTACAACTTCCATTATTTTGGCTGCATTCTTTATTAAAGCAAGCATTTCTACAATGTATATCGCATTTTGCTCCGTAATAGCCTGGTCCATAAAACCCAGTTTCACATCCAATTGTGCAGATTCCATTGCCTTTGTTACATTTTTGTTCAGCACAAGGCCAATGACATTTTAATTCACATCTTTCCCCATAGACCACTCGTTACAGGAAGTACACAAACCGTTAATTTGGCTGCAGACTTTATTGGACAAGTCGAGGGACAGACGTTCTGACATCTATCTCCCATATCCTTGATTACACCCTCGGGTGCAGATAGCCTTTCCATTGCATTGCGTCTCTACGCAATTTCCAGTATTTCCGAATAAACATACAAGTGCATACATGTATTACATCCTTTAAGTAGATCAATTGCAAGACTGGAACATTTATACACAGAACTAAACTCCTCAGTGTTCACTCAACATTTTTTAAATGTTTTAAATAACAAATGTATACACTAAATGATTTCTTTAATTTATGGTAAATAATGCATATTTCTGTTCGACATTGCGTAAAATGCATGTAATCATCTCGACAGAATTTTAAGCCAAGTTTCACATGATCTCTCTCAATATGAAAATTTACATAAAATAATATACATGGAGTAAGATCACCACTCACTCTAATTACTGTAAGAAATCCTTTCCTTGTCGATACCATGTACCCATTAATAGGAGACTAGCACATTTGCTACCAAACCGTTTAAATTTTGTGGAGGGGCTGTTATTTCTTATCAAAATACCAAATGTCTTAAATGGGATTCAGAGCCCTTGATTTGATTTGTGTATCATCATACAAATGCCTTCTGGTCAATATCATTGGGTGTTAAGCACACTTTTAAGGATGTGCAGACTGTTTAAGAAAGATAGACAACCACAGTACCAATTTCTTATCATTTTTTTGCCATTGAAGTTGTTTGTTTTAAGATTTCTGATACTGTTTCAAATTTTATATGTAATGGAAATCTTGGTTAAATTTTGTCCTATGCTTTTGAATTGTGACAAATTGGCGATAAAAATGAAGCAAACGAATAGAAAATTTGGTTGAATGGATTGTTATTAATTTTTAAATGTTATATATAGGACAAAGCAAACGTTAAACTAATAATAAGTAAAACGTGATAGAAGGATGATCTAGATATCAACATTCCAAATACTCTTCTGACTTTTTCAATGGTCATTATGCCAATATCGCGTGTTTTTTTAGTTAAACCAGTTGTTAAAAATTGACACTGGCCACCAAAAGATACTGATTATATAAAACACGTACCCTTATACATTTTTATTTTTTATCATTGATTGTCATAGGAGATTGGTTTTCATCTGTGATAATTGATTTTCTTTCGAAATTGTTGGTTATAATAATTTTTACACCGTTCTGGCGCAGTTTTAAAATAAATACGTTTATTAGAGTGAAAACTTAGAAGTTATTAAGTGTATGCTTCATGAATTTTTATTATTATGCCACAAAAATAGACTAAATTTTATACCTCGCCTCCACTTCCATTTTTTTTATTTTCTTTAATAACTTTTGAAATGTCTTTTAAAAATCTTTTGAAATGTTTGTATCATAGTCAAAATGTTTTGAAATTACGTTATTAAGTCAACACCATACATAAACAGTCTGTTTAGAGTTGACTGTGGTTATAAAAGGGTCCCCAACAAAAAAAACAAGAACTTTTTAAGAGCATTTCGCGTCTTCACGATATGTAACTATTCATTTGGATAGGAATAACGTAATGGAATAGGTTCATAGTAGCTGCATAATAAAGGTATGAGAGAAATATAAAATGTTCAAGAATTTCATGTTTGTTCTTTAGCACTAAACAACCAGTTACAATGTCACAGTTTGCACAGCCTCCGCAAGACAAACAGTTTGGACCATAATAACCGATATCACAACCTGTAGAGTTTTCGGCATCAAATAAGTTCAATTAAATCTCATGAAATGTCTTCAGGAGGATTATCCCTCAAATGTTATTCTAATGATCAACACTTACAAAACCTTTGGTTAAAGTAGAAATGTTTGTTACAAATAATCCTTTAACTTCCGACACAAGGAAATAAATCACATATAAATGGACTTATTTAAAATATTTGATTTGTAATCATTTGAAATTAAAGGCATTTAATTACGTACTTCTTGACCACCTTTTGTAATTTGTGCATTTTTTACCGCAGTTTTAACTGATTTTGACACAAATAAATCCCTATGAATTAAACGAAAACGTAATCAAGCAGAATCTAAAGGTCGACTGAATGGCAAATACATTTTAGTGACCTTTTAGTTATCATTCAGTCGCATCTTTTTATTGAATAATCGGCTTATTTTTTAATTTGATAAAAAAATCACTTTTTCATGCAAATACCAACACATTTTATTGAACTCGACAAAAACATTAATTTCTTTTCATTTCAACGAGTTTTCACAGTATACAAGCATTGTATTGAATGAGAGGGGGCTCGCCCTTCCCCTATGAAATTTATTTAAGAATGATTTTTACAATCCTTTCCGATAGCTTGCTTCATTTAATTAATAATAACACTGAGAAATAGCTTTCCAAAAAGTTTTCCTCACTAAGCAATCTATATTTAAAGAACATACATTATCAGTATGATAATTCTTTCATTTTTTTGGAGGGTCAGTCAAAAACACTTTTTGCATTAGAATAAATAAAGTTTGAGAATCAGGTTTTAAGAGTACTTAACACAAATAAAATTTTGATGCATTGATTTTGCACAAATTTTTAACCTTATATTTTTTTTTATAAAAACATCCCATTATAGTTGGTCATTATTCAGGTCAACAATTTGAATCTGAATCTTTAGAAATATTTGTGATCCTAACAAAAAAGTTTGTATTATTCTTTAAAAATAAAGTTTAATTTATCTTTTCTCATGGAGATATAACTGTTCATAAATATTTTATCCAAACTAACATCATTTATAACATTTTTCCCCATTGATAACCTGCTATATTTTTTATGTGTTATTTAAAAATTCATTTTTCTTCTCTTTTCCCAATATATAATTCAAATTTTCATTATTGAAATTAATATCATTTTACATGCTCTATTTTAAAATGACACAACACTTCACAATATTTGCAGATAAAGTGAATAGAAGTCCTGTATTCAAAATATTATTTATTTGTCATTACCCCCTTGTCATTTATGGAAATGTCGGACTGTTTCAATCACGATCTATGCCTCTTACAATATATCTTTGCGTTATTCATGGTCCTCGAAATGTTTATTTTTTCTTTAAAACGCATTACTGTATTCGGCAAACTTCAAATATTAATCTGTAAAGGATTAAAAGGCAATTTCTATTCCTTACCGTAAACTTTAACTTCACATATTTCAAGTATAGCCCCTGTGATCCAATATCTATTATCTTCAGGAGCATCATATCTTGTTCTTATTCTGAGGTATCTGGCTGTTCTTTCACATGGAATATTCTGTATGTCTGATGGTATGCGGGAATCTGGAGTGTCATCTTTGTAACATTGGAACCAATCTTGTATAGCAGAGGAATTTGACACTTCTAAGCTGTATTGTCGAAATCGGTAAGGTTTCCAGTCGTTTGCAAGGAGTCCTGTAAATCATGAAATTATTAGGGTCTTTTCCTTCCTTTTAAAATTAGGAGCAATATTTGAAGAACAAAAACAGTCATTTAGAATGATTAATACAATGTAGATGTTAATTAGCTTTGGTGGTCATCCCAATATTATGCGTCTATATTTTTTTTAAAAAGCTATCGATTTTTTAAATTTTGATGGTTCTAAATTCCATGTATAATCTCTTTATCAATTGTCCTCTCATTGACTCCTTAACTCATCCAGTTCATCACTAT